AAGTGCAAGAAGTTTTAGGCGTAAGCGTGTCCCACAACCTGTGCCCCTTGACTAGAGGGTGACTGAACTCACCATGTTGTAGCCTTGTGGACAGAGCCAACCCGACCACTGAACCCAAGACAGTCCCTCTCTACTCACTGCTGCTTCTGGGACTTTGGTTCCTTTCCTCTCCTTCCTGGAATGCCCCCCTCTGAAGCCTTCCCTAACTGTGTCAGCCTGCAGTGTTCTCCCCGACCCCATGGCCCAGTGGTCCTCAGGGCATGTTCGGTTCCATTAGCACTAAGCCACACTCTGCCTTCATCCCCTGGCAAGCCAGGTGGCCGGTGAGCAGGACTGGGGGCCTGAGGGGATGCCTTTGGTTTGAAAGTGTCTCTCCGCCTCCTGTAGCCTGCATGAGAAAGTGACCATCCTGCAGCTCCCTCCCTCCTCACCCCCACCTTCCGCTTTCCCAGTAGGAACAAAAGCAGAAGGCATTCTGACTGCTGACAAATATGTGTGTTTCTGGTCTTGGGAAATCAGGAACTGTTCCAGGGAAAGGAAACTGCTGGCGTGCTGGCCCGAGGGCTCTAAGGCGGGTGTGGGACCCACTGATGGGAGCCTGTGACCCCCGCATTTCATCTGTCTGGGTGAAGAGCCGCCTTCCCAAGTCAGTTAAGAGCTGCATCGTCAGGCGCTTTGTTGTGCGTTAGCTAGAGATTACCCTAAGCATTGTCTGGCAGCTTTTCTTATATTCTTTTTCTTCCTAAGTTTAAGATCAATCAAAAACACCAAGAGTCTGAGAAAGTGTAGGAGTTCTAGATCCCTGGATCTGGGTAAACACCCCCACCAAGAAACTTAGAGAAAAAAATAAGTGAATCCATGGTAAGAAGTGATCCAGGAGGAATTAAGCACTGTTTAAGTCCAGATCGGTGGGGAAAGTAAGGCTGCTTGGTGCTGCTGAAAGTGACTGTGTTGAGCACCTTCCCTGTACCAGCCGCTCTTACACACGGCCTCACTTAGTCCCTGCACCCGCCCTTCAAGGAGGAGAAGTTATTATCCCATTTTACAGGTAAAGAAGCTGAGCCTCAGGAGGCCAGATAACTTGTCATGTCGTTACAAGTGTCAGAACTAGGCTTTGGACCCAGAACTCACCCTCTAGTCCACCAGCTTGAGATTCATCCGGAAGAGTTCTGCTCTCCCCTCCCTGTGTCCCATTTGCCCATCAAAAATCTGCCCCTCTCTCCTGCCACCGTGTTCACTCTCCACACACACACACATTCCCGGGGCTCAGGAACTTGTTTCCTCGTCCTCCTGGTAGAGATGGGACAGGAAGAGGTCCCAGAGTCCAGCCTGGCAGGGAGACTTGACAGGATGCTATGGACCCCCCCCCAGGTGACCACCAGTGGTCCCCTGTGCGTGGCTCAAAGCTGGAGTGGTGGTGCGAAGCAGGACACAGCCCCTCACCTCTGGCGAAAGATGCTATCCTCAGAGCCCTCCAGACATGTGCACGTCTCCCTCACTTAGCCATCTCCACTGCCCAGGCATCCAGCTGTCCCCAGGACTGCGGTGACAGGCAGAGCTGGTGGGGCAGGCTGGGAGGGGGGGCAGGGCACTGGGCTTTGGCTGCCTTGGCCTCTGCACAGCCTCCCCCGAATCATGGCCTCCTCGAGGCCCGGCCTCCCCCACTGGCTACCAGACGAACAGACTGTTTGGCAGTGAAGAGCTCGAGCTCCAGAATCAGCTACGCCTGGTCAGATCCCTGGCCTGCCACCTCCCAGCTCCACGGCTCAGGGCAGGGCACCCCCTGATCTCAGCTTCCCACCCCCAGGGTTGTCAGGGAGATTCGATGAGAACCATGTGTGCTAAGCACTGAACCCGGTGCCTGACACCTGGGCAGCCTTTCGCGGAGTTGTATTATTTTCGTGGTGTTCCACCCCGAGTTGCAGTGTTGGGGCTGAGCCTTGCTTGTCCCCTCCCTCGTGCCTCAGTACCTCGCACCGCACAGCCCAGTCGTCTTCTCCAAGCAAAATTGCTTCAGACACCTGGATGACACCAAGTGAGCTTATGCTTGCCTACAGAGACTGCCCCTGGGCCCACAGAGCATCTTTCTAGTCATTGCCTCAGACCCTGTGCCCCGTGGCCAGAGTGCTCCAGGGGCTGCGGTGGGTCTGTCCCCACCTACCCACCTACCGGGAAGTTTGATGCCTGTTATCTCAGAAACAAAGTGAGAACAGGATATGGTGATAATGGTTGAGGGTAGGAAGCCAGCCGAGCTTGGGTTAGCCCAGAATCTCTGCCTGCAGATGAGTACAGACTTGGCAGCTACTCTGCGGCTTGTCGCCTGCGTTAACCCCCTCAGTTGACAGTGTTTGGGGCAGAGAAAGAGGCTGTTTACTGGGCCTGTAGCCCTAGCTCTGTCGTGTGAGCTTTGTCAGGTATGGATCTCTCTGAACTAGCTTTCTCCTTGGAAAAATGGGGATGACAGTGCCAGTCCTCCCAAAAAATAGCATTAGTTACTGTGGACCAAGAAGGACTGGGCAGCTGGAAGGGGGTGCTGTCTTGAGAGCCCCTTGGAGGAGAAGGCCAGAGTGACCGCCCTGACCACTCCTGGGCCCCATGCTCGTGGCTCTGCTCCACCCCCCCTTAGGGGCAGCTTCGGGCTTTTCTCTCCTATGGCGCCATCTCCTCATTCCAGAGTGATCATGGAGAACACCTGGCCTTCTAGCCCCCAGACGGCCCCTGGAACCAGTGTCACCCTGCAGTCACCACGTCTCAGGTGACATGGCCATCTGTGGTCTCTGCCATGCCTCTAAATGGGTCTGGGGCACATTCTTTACCCTCCGACCCTGAGGCCACACCAGGGCACTCTGAACTCAAGCAGCATCTGTTCCCAGCCTCACCTCCCTTCCCCAAGTCCTCCCACGTGCCCCAGCCTCTGACGCCAGGTGCTGGGGGGGGCGGGGTGAGCAGAGGGGAGAGCTGAGCAGGGGTGAGAAGAGTGGGCCTGGGGTCGGGAGCTGGCCCTGCCCCACACCTGCGCCCAGTCTCCTCCTTTGTGGAGTGGAGCCTGTGCCGGTAGTCCCTTCTGCTGCCTGGGCTGTGGGTAGCATGAGGTCAAGATGTGAAGGCCCCTGCCTGTCACCTGCACATGCCCGCACTAGTGCTCATTGCCAAGCACTACGTAGACCCGGGGGAGGGGTTTGGAAAATGATGTCTACGTCAAAGAGTCGAGGTAAGGGCCCAGAGAATGTGGGGCTGGTGCGTGGCTGAGGAAGCAGGGAAGGGGAAGGGAGATTCCACTGCTGTGCTGTTCCTGGGGACAGGCAGGCGGAGTCCCTAAGCTGTGAAGGGCCAGCGCAGAACCTATTCTCGGGGGTGTGGTAGGGGCAGGCATGCGGTCAGGGGACGCCTGGTGGTCTGAGCAGCTCCGCTCTGTTGCCGTGGCCAGGCGGGCCCTGGCGCAGCCCTTGGAGCGCATGGCCTGTGCCTCACGGGCCTCCCCTGGAGCGAGGGCCACCGTGAGCCACTGGCATAGGTGGTGAACCAGGGCCCGGGGAGGCTGCGTCACTCGCCCAGGGGCGTCCAGTGGTGGAGCCGTCGCTGAGCACTGTCGGAGTGAGCCCGGAACCCTGCGTTCCCATCACTCCACCCTTCCTATCCTCCCTTCCCTCCGTGGGGACTTGTGGAGATGCCACAGGGCCCCTGTCTCCTGACTCTTTCCGTCTTCCTTCCCACTTAGGGCCTCTGCCTCTTGGCCCGGGACGCGGTCGGGAAGCCAGGGACTGGTGGCCTTTGTGTCAGAAGTGCTCCACACTGAGATGAATGTACAAAGGGGTGGTGGCAGAAACTCCCCTTTAGAAGCCAATCAAAAGAAGATAAATATCATCCTCGTCACCCTGAGAAGGGCAGATTTTGTTGTTTGAGGAAAGCACTCGAGGTCTGTTGGCCTGATTACAGTAGAGAGACTCTCCTCATGGTGCATGTAGGCGTGTTTATGAAACAGCAGGTAGGATCCTGTGGGGGCACCCCGCAAGGCCTGGCCTGTGCGTAGCTCACCAGGGTGCATGTGGCATGCCACACACCTCCAGAAGGCATGACGCAGACCCTCCCTGCCTCGCCAACCCACAGGGCTGACACAGAGGGCTTCCATTTTGTGTCACTAGTCTTATAAAAAATAACAACTTATGCTATTTTTAGACCTTTTCTACCCCAACATGCAAACTGTGCCAAGTGTTTTGCGTACAATATCACGCCAACCCTGAGAGGTGGGTACTGTTATGATCCATGTTTCCCCAAAAAGGAAGGAAACAGGTGCTCAGAGGCTAAGAGATTTGCCCAAGGTCTTACTAACTGGTGAGTGGCAGGGATCTGACTCTAGTCTATCCAGCCCCCAGAGCCACACTGTAAAGCCAGCTCTGGTCTGCCTCTCTGCATTCTGCTTAGCTGTTGTCAGTTGGTTCTCCATATTTTGGTGGGCGATTTTGAGATGCATAAACCCAAAAAGTATCTTTAAGCCTTTTGCACAGATTGCCAGGACCTAATTAATATGCATAAAAGCATGACATTTAAAGCTGCCTCATCCTGTGACCATATTATAGAAGCTGAACACACTTTGGGCAGAAGGTTAGAAGCCACAGTGGAAGAACAGGGTTGTTATTACTGGTATATTCCATTTCCTTTATAGATCACTGTCCTAAAAGTTTACAATTTTAATGTATTTCCTGTGCTCTGAGCCCAGAAGTAACCATTTTTGGTATATTCCAGGCATACCACATTAAAGTAAAATTTGCCTCAGGGTGAAAGTAGTTTGGAGACTTTTAAAAAATTTTATTTCATAGTTATAACATTTATATGCTATATAATATATAGGTATGTGTGAATCTGTGTGTATACACATGTATATACGTGTGTGTGGCAGGCATTGAATAATTCCATTTTTAAATGAGCAAAGCCAACAAGAGTCCACTTCAAAAATGCTGCTTAGATTTACTATGGTCTTGAACTCTTATTTTGCACATTTTTTGAGCATTCCATGGACCACTGGGATTCTCAGCTTACTCTAATTGGCTCTGGCCCATTTGTAGTCCCCAGTACTAGTCCTTCCAGGATGAATCAAAGAGAACCTGAGCATCGGCCTGCACAACAGTCAAACACCAAGGTGAAGCAGGGCCTGCTCTCATTCCTGTTGGGTGCCTGGTGGTTGACTCCGAGCCGTGTAGGCCGGCACCTGTGCTCGTGGCTGCCCTCGTCTCCACTGCTTGCCCAGTAGTCAGATGAGTCCTCTGAACCTGGGAGCCCCGCAACCATCAATAGCTTTGTTTGCTCACCTCCTCCACCTTCCGCTCCATTTCCAGTAAAGGAGAACCCAAAATCTTAAGAGCCATACATCAGCCCCTTGGTGTCAGCAAGCCCTTAAAAATTTTAGACCCCCCCCCCCTTTGAGCTTTAGGCATGGAGGTTCTAGAAAAGAACAGATTATGTTCGTGTCTGAGAAGCAGCGTTCCAAACCAGGCAGAGCATTTGGTGACTTCTCCATGAGAATGCACAAGCTATAAACAAAGCCTTCCTCGTCCCATCCAGAGGACACAGCCGTGCCCCCGTAAGTTCCAGAACAGCTTCTCCAAGCCCCGGCAAGGCCTACAGCTGGAACATGCTGGTGGCCTCCACGTTGTTGGAGGCAGAGAAAGTCTTGGAATTGTCCTCAGAATACTTCCATTGACCTGAGATCCCAAGGTAAGGGAGGCAGCCAATGTCCTTCACAAGTTTCCAGAAGTTCTTCCGAAACTTCAGGCCGACAAAGGCATAGAGCACAGGGTTAAGGCAGGCCCGCAGGTATGCGATGGCCTCCGTCACTGTGATGGCATAATGAAAGCTGGTCATGGCGTAGTACTCCCAGCTTGTGCTGCGGATGAGCTTCACGAGGTTGAAGGGCGTCTGGGTCAGCAGGAACACAGCCACCACCAGGAAGATGATCTTTAGAGATCTGTGCTTCTGGAAACCTCGAGCATGAAGCAGGGTCTTGATGATAACTGAGTAGCAGACAATCATGGCAAGCAGTGGCAGGAAGAACCCCAGAGTCATCTGGGTGGTGAGAACCACAGTGGAAATCTCCTCATCGTGGTAATCGCAGATGAGCTTGTCGAGATGGAGGACACTACCATAAATGACCTGGGGCAAGGAAACCAGCAGGGAGATCAGCCAGATGAGCAAGCAGATGACCTTGCCCTTGATCATCCTCTTGGCCTGCTGGTTGTAGGTCTTGGTGGCCTGAACCACTGCAATGAAACGGTCCACAGTAATGCAAGTGAGGATGAGCATGGATGTGTAGAAGTTTATAGTGTAGATGCCTATTAGGGTCTTGCACATGATGTTGCCAAACACCCACTCACGGATGCTTGCATAGGCCCAAAAGGGCAGAGTGCAGACGAACACCAGGTCAGCCAGGGGCAGGTTCACCAGGAACACATCTGTCAGGCTCTTCAGCTTCTGGTAGAAGATGGATATGACCAGCACCAGGGAGTTCCCCACCAGGCCACAGACGAACACCACCACGTACGTGCAGGGCAGAAAGATCTTGCTGAACTGCAGGTAGTGTTGATGCTCCTGCCTGCTGTTACTGGAACTGTTGAAGAACTCGAGGTCTTCATAGTCCTCATACTCCTCCATGGTGTCTGTTCTGATGAAACACCTGCAGTCAAAACCCAAGAATTATATGTGGGGCTGAGGGTGACACCCCCTGTCTTTTCCACTGTCCCATTTGACCACATGTAGGGGGAAAATACCCATCTCCTAAACCCACCCACTGGATTTAGGTCCACTGTATACTGAAGCTGGCCACTTCTGAGGGGAAATTGCTCAGACGGGATAAGGGACTCTTTTGTTAGCCCTAAGATTTTGAGGATCTCACCTGTCTGGGAAACAACTCCTAACACACATTCCATAAAACCCTGTGCTCAGCTCTTTTGAAAGCAGAAGTCACCCTGTGGTCAAATGGGGAAGTGCCTTTTGGAAGAGCAGCAGTGCTCCTTGGTGGGGAGGGGGCCTGTCTTCCTCCCGTCACACCTGACTGCAGTTGCCCGCCCATCCTCAGCCTTGTTGTCTGCTAAGTTGCGTAAGCTAAAGCAGACCAAGGAGACTCCTGGAGACCACGGGTGTTTGGGGGGTGACAAGGATTTCTCTGCCTGGGCGGGCAGCCCTTCCTGCCTTGTCTTCCCCTCAACTGCGTAGATTTCAAAAGGCAGCTGACCGGGAAGCAAGGCACAGACAAGCCCCCGCTGCCCAGCGCTTCGGCCGAGCGAGCTTCACGGATAGGGAGCTGGGCAGTTCTCCCGTCCCATCCACCCTTTCCCCTTTGTCATCTGGCACAGTTTATGACATTCCACCAGCAGTGCCTCGTTTCCTGAAGACCCCTTGATCTTCAGCAGTCTCTTAAAAGGTAGATTTCCCCCGAAGGAGACACTGCCTTAGCTTCTGTGATTAGCAGTTTAGCGATTAGGGGCTTCCTTTAATAAATGGAAGACCCGATTGAAATGGGGGTGCCAGGTGCAGTGAGGCTTGTAGCAAAGACCAGATGGCTGCCCTTTTTGCTCAGCACTTTGGCCCTTCAAGATGTCACTTTTCTCTGACTTTCCCTCTGCCCTGTGACCCTGCAGAGGACCACCGAGAGGACATGGGGTGATGTAACCTGCAGCAACATTAGCCCAAGAATGCCAGGCCTGTCCTTGCCACTGACCTGCGTATTCAACACATAGCAGCTCATTTCAGTGGCCTGGGGCCATATCCCAACAGACCTCAAGATGTTTTAAGAACAGGTGTTTGGACAGAATCTCTACAAGGTTTAGCAAAGTCAGAATATTGCCTGGCCAGACAAGGGCATGCAAAAGGTGAGGTCATCTCCTCTGTTCCATACAGAAACACTTCTTCCCTTGGTGTTGAGTCCTAACTAGACTCAGCCCTGATGCCACTGCCTGCCTCGGTCTTTCCTGGGCCCAAAGCCCCCTGCTCTCCAGAAAGGAAGGGTCTTGCCTTTGGGGTGAGACTACTCAATAAATAGTCCCTACCCTCAAACACAAATATTAGATCTCTAAGGGTGATAGGTGGCTTCCTGCCCCACAGGCTTTCTGGGGTATTAGATTAAGTAGGTCAGATGATGATGTGTATGTTATTGCCTCACATGGGGACAAAAACATTTTTTTCATCATTTAAAATATGAAACAGGTGGCTCGGCTTTGCCCAAGAATAACATTCAGCTCTCTGTTATTGCTTGGCTTACTCTTGCCTTTTTTTGTTATCCTTTTAGTCCAGCTTCTGCAGGACCCTTACGCTGCCATTGCATGTTTCCTCAGAGGATGTGTGCTCGTTCATTTGTAATAATTGGTAAACTTTCGTATTATGTTAGCAGATTGGGCCTGGGCAATTTTGTGCAGGTAGAGTATCAAGAATTACTTTCCCTTCTAGAAAAGGTTAAAAACATTCATTTCTTTATCTTGTATAATCAAAATTCTAGGCCGGGCGCGGTGGCTCACGCCTGTAATCCTAGCTCTCTGGGAGGCCGAGGCGGGCGGATTGCTCAAGGTCAGGATTCGAAACCAGCCTGAGCAAGAGTGAGACCCCGTCTCTACTATAAATAGAAAGAAATTAATTGGCCAACTAATATATACAAAAAATTAGCCGGGCATGTGGCGAATGCCTGTAGTCCCAGCTACTCGGGAGGCTGAGGCAGGAGGATTGCTTGAGCCAGGAGTTTAAAGTTGCTGTGAGCTAGGCTGACGCCACGGCACTCACTCTAGCCTGGGCAACAAAGCGAAACTCTGTCTCAAAAAAAAAAAAAAATTCTATGTTGGTTTCTGATAATTAAAAATAATTATGTGTAACTTTTGAAATATTATAAAAGTCTGATGATAAATAATGAAGCAAATTATAATTCAGACATAAAATGAAATATGGCTGAAATGTTTAGGAAGCACTTTTAATGATTTTAGAAAATGCAATACATTTAAATTGCCCAGAACAGTATAAACACAAAGTAAATCAGCAAAATAAGTATTAGCTATTACTATTACAATAAATGGATATAAAATTAAGGATATAAAATTAACCATGATTCTTAACCTTTTCAAGTTATAAACTCCTTTGAGAATCTCATAAAAGCTTCAGATCTTTTCTCAGAAATAATGTACACATACACACACAGAGGCCTGCAATTCTGGGGGTTCATGAACCCCTTGAAGCCCTGTGCCACAGACTCTGTGAACCCTTGTTTAAGCATCCATGATAAACTGTAAGATTTTGACTTTATTTTTAAGAATATAGAAAAACGACCAAATTATATCAGCACTTGGCCTCTGGTTGGTAGAGTTATGGGTGACTTATTTCCTCTCTTCCTTTATGTTTTTCTATAGTTTACAAAGTTTCTATAGTAGCATATTGATTTATATCGAAAAAAGGTAGATGATAATCAGCAATAACAGTTTGCCTTATAAAATGCAAAAGAAATGAAAACAGAGATTGTTCAGGGAATAAATACAATGACTAGACTCTCCCTATCTCCCTGGGTATGATGATTACGCCACTACTAGCAGGACCGTCAGCTTATAAGCACTTACTGTGTGCCCCAAATTTATGTTCAGTAGTTTTCACATTTCTCTAATTTAACTCTTTTTTTTTTTGAGTCAGAGTCTCACTCTGTTGCCCAAGCTAGAGTGCTGTGGCATCAGCCTAGCTCACAGCAACCTCAGACTCCTGGGCTCAAGCAATCCTTCTGCCTCAGCCTCCCAAGTAGCTGGGACTACAGGCATGTGCCACCATGCCCGGCTAATTTTTTCTATATATATTTTTTAGTTGGCCAATTAATTCTTTCTATTTATAGTAGAGATGGGGTCTCACTCTTGCTCAGGCTGGTTTTGAACTCCTGACCTTAGGCGATCCATCTGGCCTGGCCTCCCAGAGTGCTAGGATTACAGGAGTGAGCCACCGCGCCCGGCCACTCTAACTCTCACAGCAGCAAATGTCAGTGATAGATTTGAGTCAAGAGGAGTTGAGGCTGGGTGCGGTGGCTCACACCTGTAATCTAGCACTCTGAAGGCTGAGGCGGGAGGAGTGCTTGAGGTAAGGAGTTTAAGACCAGCCTGAGCAAGAGCGAGACCCTGTCTCTACTAAAAAATAGAAAAAATTAGTTGGGCATCATGATGCACACCTGTAGTCCCAGCTACTTGGGAGGCTGAGGCAGGAGGATCACTTGAGTGCAGGAGTTTGAGGTTGCTGTGAGCTAGGCTGATGCCACGGCACTCTAGCCAGGCAATAGAGTGAGACTCTGTCTCAAAAAAAAAAAGGAAGAAAGAAAAAGAAGAGCAGTTAGGACCTCTAGCTTGGGTATTTTGCACCGTGCCCTGCTGCAGGCAGGAACCTGACAACCCCAACAGTACCTGGGGTTAGACTCCCTGTCGTCTTTCAAATATTAAAGAGGAGACAAGTGACTCACCCGCAGAGAAGCTTCGTCGGTTTGTTCCAGAGATGAGCTAGCTCTCGAAGCCAGGTCTGCCTCTGCTTCTCTGATGTGGTCCATGCTTCCGCTGCGTGTTTTTTAAGAGGCCTCGGTTGTTTACTACGAGAGACCCACCTCCACGCCCATCCTTCAGATCAGAACCCACATGACCAAGCTGCACCGTGTAATTTGGAGATCAGAGATACGTTTCAGTGACTCTGGTGCCCTTTACTCCTCTCATTCCGGCTGCAGGCTTATTCTCTTGGGACCTGCGAGGGTTTTACTTGTAAACTGAAAGGAAGTAGGTTTGGCTCTGGTAGTCCACTGATGATGGTGGCATTTGCACCTTAAAATTATTTCTTTTGCTGGTCAGACATCCCTTTGGCACGATTTGGGCACGGGCAATGCAAAGTCCATGCTATGGGCTGAGTTCTGTGTGTGTATACACCCCAACATGCACTACAGCCACGGGCCTCATAGCAGCTCTACGAAAGTGGATATTATCCCCATTTTATAGATAAGAACGCTGAGGACCATAATCAGAGTATTAGCCTGATGCGTACACAGCTAGTAACTGGCAATTTGAAGATATAAAGTCAGGTCTCTGTCACTACCAGACCAATGGCCTGGATGGCTTCTAAGCGATGGGTCTGCCCGAGAGCCCGGTGCAGCCCTGCCTCCAAAATCCACACCACTCAGGCCCCTTGGCAGGCAGTGCCTACCTCCTCTGTTTGTCCTGGCTGGAATCACCTGGTTTCTTGGGGCTGTCCTCTCTATACCTGGAACTCCCCAGATGGTGAACACCTTGATCCCAGCATAGTTCTCGTTGTCAATCTTTATGGTCCAACATTGCTGACCCTTCTGGGAAATAACACTGGAAGGCAGGAACCGGAGGAATGTCTGCCTGGGTCACCTTCCCCAGTACCTCCGAGTGGAGAGGTGGAGGTGTGGACTCTGTTTCTGCTTTCCCTCTTGCTGAGGCACGAGGCCTCCCTTCTTGACTCTGCACTCCCATTTAGCCTGCTCGCCCCCAAGGCTGTGCTCTCTCTCACCTGAGGGACAAACCCTCTTATGTGGCTCTTCCTGAGGGCAGGTGTCAGGCACTGGGAGCAGGGACCAGGAGCAGCCCCGGGACCCAGAGACTAACACTCAGGTCTGTTATAAGCCTGGCCCTGCGCTGGGTGCTTCCCATGGACAGCCGTCTAATCCTAGTCACGCACAGATGAGTCAACGGAAGATTAGAGAGATTAGCTCATTCGCCCAAGAACACTCATGCGCCATGGTCACGAAGGGTCCGACTACAAAGCCAGTGTTCCCTGCCGTGCTCTTCTGAGTATGGAGCTGTCCCAGGGGCCCCTGGTAAAAGATCTAAAGACCTCTAGTGGGTTTTCAGGCCTTTTTTGAATGAACTTGTTCGAACTGTCCTTTCTACCAAACTGGTACAAATGAGCGAAGTGTTCTTATGGACATGGAACCATGAGGCCGCATGGACTATAAATCGATGGACAGATGGATTCAGGGAACGCTGGATGAATGAGGAAAGGCACAGGCTGAATCGAATACCGAGGGGGAGATGAGCCAAAGCTCTCATCCCGAAAGAGACTTTTCAGGGCAAGACAGCCATTTAGAGTAAGCCTACTTGACACTTAGGAATCTGTAAGCTTTGAGAGGTGGGTTTTTCCCAGGGACAAGACGGTGTTAGAATGGGCTGAGCCTTGCCCAGCATGCTTGGCCATGCTCTTCTCTCAGCAATCCTGCTACTCCAGTGGGGGTCGGAGGAGGGGGGAGTGGGGGCCTGCACCTGGCGCCTTCTGTGACTGGGTGTGCCTGCCAGTGCAGGAATATGTGTATTTGAGAAAGTATGGTGCATTTAACACAGCCATTCTCTGCCAGAAACTTCTGCATAGTACAGAAGACTTGCAGCTAAATTTGAGGAACTGAGCCACTCACAGTTTTGGTGTCAAAATTTTATTTCAAGCACTTTACAAAATGTCATCTATTATTATATCTGATACACACACACACACACATACACACACACATATGGTTGGTAGTGTTAATTGTTTCAAGGACATTTATTGTCTTTAAAACAAAACTCTAAACTTCTTAAGGGTGAGTCCCAATCTTATGTGTCTTAGATTTTCCCAGAAACAGTTTCCAAATGGAATTGTGGGAAGAGCAAAAGCGAAGTTGCAGGCATCCCTGCTGCAGGTTAATGTTGGAAGTCAGACCGTTGCCCTGCTCTGCTTTCCCAGAGACCTGGCCTTCTGGAGCCAGAGCTATTAGGATTTCAGTTCCAGGACTCAGGGGTGACGCATTTGCTGCTGCTGGGAGAAGAGTCTAGCTGCAAGACTTTGGTGGATGATGGGGCTGTGGCGGATGGGTTAATGACTCAGGACTCCCCAGAAAAGTACCCTCACCAGACAGCAGCAGCTGAGTTGGGCATGGCGTGCTCAGCAGCGCCCCAGGTGATGGCTGTGGTCAGACCATAGTCACCAAGTAATCAGAAAGCAAAGTACCAGATGTGTGCTGTCCTTCACTCGGTTTTTAGGCAAAAAGGAAGCCAGTGACTCAAAGGAAAACTACTAGCAACTTACTAGCAAAGTAAATAAACTTAATAAAATGAATATAATAAGATAATTTAATAACAATATTAAAAAATGCCCCCAGCTCTTAGAGTGGAGGTGATACATGGTGTAGTTCGGCCCAGCCCTCCAAACCCGCACTGGCCGATGGAGCCTTCTTCCGTGACAGATGTGCTCTGTCCCTGTGCTGTCCACCACGGTGGCCGCCATCCCATGTGACGATTGAGCACTTGACGTGTGGCTAGTGCTACCAAGGAGCCTCTCAAATCCTTAGTGTAATTTCTCTGATGAATTGAAGTTTCAGTAGTCATTTGTGCAGTTCTAAACTGAAGGTCTGCCCACTTCTCAGGAGACCGTTCACGGGCGGAGGCCGAGCAGAGAGGCTGTCGGAGCGAGGCAGGCTAGGTGGGGCCCACAGAAGAAGACTGGCAGCAAGGCGCCTCGGGCCTGGCGACCTTCTAGGTGTCCGTCCCCTCCTCAGCGAGGCAGTCTTACACCAGCAGAGGGTCTGCTCCCCCGGCAGGCTGCACGGTTCAAGCTGTACAGCAATGAAATGAAAAACAAGCTTAGGCAATCTGATTTGTGACAGGGAAGTACTATAGGTTCTGTTTGTAGAAACCAAGCTAGAGGGACCTCCCTGCAACCCCAGGAGGTGTGGTCGCCTGGCCTGCATTGCTTGGGGCTGCCTCGCTCAGCGTCTACCTCGTTTGTGCTCATCGCTTTCTTCTGACTCGGTTCTGAAGTGGAGTCTTGCTTATGTCCTCCTTTGGCAGCATTTGGGACAGAAGAGAACCTTACCCTGAGGCACCTCTGTGCCTCAACATTCATTTATGGAGCACAGACTGTGCACAGCTGGGTGCCCGGGAACACCAGGATGGCCACCCGCAAAGGGACGGGCACGTTGGCGGGCTGGCGTGCGTGCTCGGCTGGCCACAGGCTCAGGGACACAAGCCCAGCAGGAAGGGTAGTGGCATGGCACCGTAGCCAGCAGTAGGCTCCCCTGCCGGGCCAGGGGAGGAGGAGGAAGGTCCTGTCCTGTCCGGCGTCCTTTCTGAGGAAACTGCCTCAGCAGCAGGGAAAGGAAATGGCTATTGGAGGAGGGAGGTGCCCTCTAGTGGCCTTGTTTTTGTCGCCTGTTATTCTCAAACTTTTTTAAATCCCCAAGTTGCTTGAATATTTTCTACCACATCCTCCGTAAGAAATACATTTTCCGTGGTTACTCAGCGTGTGTGTGTACGTACATGAGGTCAGAACGGGAGCCTTGTAGATACTTACCCTCACACCATGCCGTATACGCTTGCATTTGCTATTTTCTATCTCATTCCATTTCTCTCAATGTTGGTCAGAACCTACTAAATTGATCCACAGCCCAACTAAATGGGTCGTCACCCACAGCTTGAAAATCCACTGGAAGGGAAGCCCTCTGCCCCAGTCATCACCTTTGTGACCACGTCACCCGCCCATCCACACTCCCGTCTCCGCCATGCAGGGCCCCGCCAGGGCCGGCGGAGCTGGGAAGCCCACTCCATGACACCTGCTCATGGTCAGGTGTGTCCGTCTTCATGGTGGCCGGAGAGGAGGGTGGTAGAGGAAGAGAGGGAATGATAAATTAGGACATCTTTTATCCTAAATGCAGGAAAATTGGGAGAACTAACTTCTGTTTTTAGAGTTTCTCATCCTCCGTTCTTTGTTTATCTCATGTATGGTGTTTGCACTTTGGACAAGGATGAAAGCAAATGGAACGAGGCAGCCTGGGCCTCTGCTTCCCGCTGTCCGGGGGGGTTGACGAGTTGTTCTCCAGCTGCTTCGCGCACTGACATTCTGTGATTCTGCTTGTCCCGGGGGGGAAGGGCTGGAGGTCTGGAATCGGTGGGTGGAAGAGCAGCAGGAAAGAGGTGTTAGGCAGGGAGGAGGTCAGCCCCGCTGGGGCCGGGGCCAGGGGGACAAGGAAGCACCAAAGTGGCGAGGCCCGCCCTCGGCAGCAGCAGGTGCCGCAGGAGGTGTTCTTGCTGCACCTTCCCTGGGAGGAGCAGAGGAGGCCAGGCGCGGGGAGCTGCTGACCCAAATGAGCCCACCTCTTTCCCAGCCAGTGGGCTCCGTAAACTGCCTCCTCCGAGTCCTTCAAAGCTTACAGCCTTCTCAAGCCGGCAGAACCTAGAGCCCATCTCGTTCCATCTCCATCTCCCATTTATTTATTTACTTTTTTATTCCTTCTCCCATTTAGAGAAAAGAAATTGAGGTACCAGGGGAGAAGGGGGCTCACTGGGAGTCACACAGTCACAAAGCTGAGGCTGGAACCATGATGGAGGAACCCCACCTGCCATCATACCACCTCCCCTGCCCTGGGGACCCACAGTGACCCCCAGCTAGAGGGAGCCCCACTGCTCAGATCTGGTGGCACTCTGTCCCCAGAAGGGCAGGCTGTTTCTGAAGCTCTCACTTGTCCCAGGCTGACTTGAACTGAGCAGGCACATGGGCGCTGGTGGGTTTCTGATGATCCGAACTGCCCTGGGGGTGTGGGGGGTGGGTGGGGGTGGGGTACTCCAGATGCCGGCCCTGCCCCCCACCCCTCAGGGCATCTGGCTCTGGCTCCAGCCCTGTCTCTGAGGAGCTGCCTGGGCCTCTGTGTCCCCATCAGTGAAATGCAGTGACTGTAATCTGCCTGCATGTTGTGAGGATCAGTAATTCAGTAGGTATTAAAAATATTCCTTGGCTAAATGAATATAGGGACACTAGAGTTAAAATTTAATAGACATCCTTACTGCAGGGCTTCACGGAGCGTTTAATCTGTCACTGAAATACACGGTGACTTTCTAAGACAGGCAGATGGTGTGTGGTGCTCGCCTGCCCTGCCACTGCCCTGCCGGCTCCCGCTGCTGGCGCCCTGCATGGGTGATCACAGTTCTGAGGGGAGAAGGAGATGTGTCAGGCCCACCCCTTTATGTGTGACGCTGTCCCATCACCTCCGCCTTGGCCGCGCTGCTGCCTGCCCTGTTCTTGTGCCCCAGAGATGGGCCAGCGTGAGCTCTAGTGCTGGCACCGGGAAGGCGGGAATCAGCGGTGCTGATACTTGGGCCCCGTGGCGTGAGCTCTGCAGGCCCGGGACAGGAGGGCCGGTCTGTGTTTATGCTCGCCCCTCCCCACACCCAGCAGGGGGACATCGGGAACATCACTGTGGCCCTGTCGTCTTTCCCCCTCCCACCTGCTCGGCCCTGGCCCCTGTGGCCCTCCCTCTACCCACAGAGTCTCTTGGGGCCTCTGTCGCGGCCTCTGTGGTTTAAGGTTCCCCATGCATTCTGGGTCTGACTGCATGACTCCTAGACTGTGGAGCCCGGGTTGTGGGACCTTGCGCGCTGACAGCTAAACAGCTGTGTCCTCGTTTGTGATGTTTCAGGGACACCACGTCAAACTCGGTAACTCCTGAGGACACTGAAGACATGCCTGTGGGGCAGGACGCAGAAATCTGCCTGCTGAAGTCTGCAGAACTGATGTGAGTGGCAGCTGCCGCCTGGGCCTTTCTCAGGCTGGGATGGGAGGTGCCGGAGCTGGGGACCACCTGGAGGCTTTAACTTGGCACCAATGAGGGCTTCCATTTGGGCTTTTTTCTTTTAGGTATAATTTATATGCATTAAGATTCAAGCAAGTAGACAGTATTTGAATTTTGACAAATAATACAGTGTAATCCCCACCACAATTGAGATATAGAACAGTTGGATCATTCTGAAAAGTTCCCTGTGCCCCTTTAGAGTCATCCCTTCAGCACCCCATGTTCTTCTTTTTTGAAAATAACTTTAGTTTTCTCA